TTGAGCCAACAATTCGGAGACAACTCCTCACTATTCAATGCGCGCTATCGATGTTTGGAGCTCACTATGAACGAAGATGCTGATTTTCTCACACACGTGGGTATTGTCAACCGAGAATGCGGACGCTTCCGGTTGAAGTCGCTTACTGAAGACCAATTTAAAGCACTCATTCTCATCTGCAGCCTTCAATCGCAGAAGTTCAGTGACATTAGAACACGTTTGCTAAGTCGATTGGACCAAGACCCAAAACTAACCCTTAATGATATTGCAAACGAATATCAACGCCTAATCAATCTACAGTGTGACACTACGATGGTCCAGCGTGGTGGTTCAGATCTTACCGAAGTTCATGTAGTCCAACAACCACCCAACTCATCGAATCTCGTTCTCGTTCGCAAACTACGTGAACCCGTGATAGCTCTCTATCTCTCTCTTTCAAAACCTAACAATTGGCGACGGGGTAAAAAGAAAAAATGACTCTCTCTTCCGATCGATTAAAGCTGCTATTCGAGCGACACTTGGACTTATTAGTCAATTTACGCACGCAGCTACTGAATCACTCATGCTTTGGTGATGCGATGGAAGTGGATGAATTGATTTCTCAACTGCACACTGAACTGGATAATGATTGCAGCCTCGATGAATCCTCGATAACCCGTACTTCAAACGAAACAGCTATCACTCAAGATCCGCCCGGTGATCCAGTGCTCCCCACTCCAGAAACATGCGCGGTAATGGATCCAAACTCCATTATCCCCGAAACAGCATGTAAAGACAGTGGTGCATCCAGCTCACAAAAGGACGCCCTGCTAGATGTTCATGGAAGTGTTGCAGTAACCACCCATGAAACAGAAAATAAATCGAGCAGTACAATGAAGGCAGCTGCTACAAATGGTTCTCATCATTATGTGACACAAGTTTCTGACGAATCTTATTATCGAGATTCTGTTTTACCAGAACATAGATAAGATGTTGATTATCTTAATGATTCATCATCTACAAATGAGGCTCCCAATAAAATTGATAACAAGATTTCAGGAGATTCAAACTCTGATGACCTCAAATTAAATGGCGTTTATCCTCACCACCCGGTCCATTTTACTGGATTCTCTGCTCAATATGTTTTAAATATAGTCAAGCTAATTGTAATTTGGGTATTTGAGGACCCAACATTGTTTCGTGGGGGAGGATGAACACGGAAAACTTAAAATCCGGATCTCAACACCGGATCTTCAAAAAGGGGAGGAGTGTTGGGGACGGTAGATCCCTAAAAACTCATAGTTTGTAATTTTATCTTGTGGAGCTTGTATGCAGATGTATACGTGGCCATTTCTTACCACCCACGCATATAGTCGATTGATGAATTTATCGATCAAATGTTTAAATAATTCAATGGCAGTCAATTGACGAACTATCGATTAGATGTTTAAAAGCTCCATGGCAATATCGATGTATAGATATTTGTATATATACGTTTAAAAATTGTCTTGTAAAAAGTTTGCTGGTTTTCTGGTTGTTACAGAATATACTTTCATTCTAAGCTTGGTCTTCTCACTCTAGATAGCGGGGCTGGGACGCGTCAATAGATAGCTCACTGGTCGTTGGTCATCGAATCTCGTTCTCGTTCGCAAGCTAGGTGAACCCGTGATAGCTCTCTCTCTCTCTCTCTTCAAAACCTAACAAGAGGTAACCGGCGTTTTTGCTATTTATCTTCCTATGTTAATCATGTCAACCCAATTACGTTTAAGGGTAGAGTACAGATTACTGAGTTAGAAATACTGTTAGACACGGGAGCGTCAGTATCCCTCATTAAGGAGGAAGTCTTGAAGAAACTTAATCATAAACCTCGACAAAATCGATGTTTTTCTACGTTACTTACAGCAAGTGGGGATCCGTTGAAAGTATGTTCTAAGGCGTGGTTAGACCTTACGATAGAAAAACATTAGTTTCAGCATGAGTTCTCAGTTTGTCCAACGTTAACTTGGGACATGATTTTAGGCGTTGACTTCATGTTGAAACATCAAGCCTCTATATTTCTGGATAGATCAGAAGCAAAAATCGGCGAGGCTATAGTGCACCTGCACCACCATGAGAGGACGACAAAATCTATAGCCCTTGTGGGGATTTCAGACCTCGTACGTCAGATACATAACAATCAAGTAATCACAGAGAATGATCGTCGCACAACGATTGCCGTGCTCCAGCAGTTTAGTTCTGTGTTTGAGGACACCGTAGCACTGCAGATGGGGTAGGCACAGATAAAGAAAAGACACGTGTGATTGTTAATTGACCGCAACCACAATCACCCGAAGACGTTCGTAGCTTCCTTGGGCTAGCTTCTTATTATAGACACTTTGTTCGCGACTTTGCATCATTAGCAACACCTTTGCATCGCTTAACACACAAGGGACGAAAATTCTTATGGACTAGCGAGTGTCAACAAGCGTTCGATGCTTTGAAAGCACGATTAACCTCCCCACCTATATTAGCCTTTCCGGATACTTCAGCAGACGGAGGTGAATTTATACTCGATACGGACGCTAGTTCCTCGGCCATTGGAGCAGTTCTATCGCAAGTAGATCGAGATGGACACGAAAGAGTCATCGCGTATGCTAGTCGACTATTAGATAAGAGTGAAGCACGGTATTCTACAACACGTCGAGAGATGTTAGCACTAGTAAAATTCTTACAACACTTTCGCCATTACCTACTGGGCAAACCCTTTCGTGTGTGCACGGATCACCGTGCATTACAGTGGCTCCGCTCTTTCCGCGAACCAGAAGGGCAAGTAGCACGCTGGCAAGAACGGCTACAAGAGTTTAACTTCACATGCGAGTATCGACCGGGAAACCGACATACAAACGCGGATGCCCTTTCCCGAATACCCCAGATCACAAATAATGTTAACACAATTCTGAGTACAGCGCTAGAGACTGATTGGCCCTCCCTACAAGCAACAGATCCGGACCTGCAGATTATTTACCAAAGACAGTTACACGGGAACAATAAGCCATCCTGGAAGGAGTTAAAAGATCAAACCATAACAACGCGTCGTATTTGCACAAAATGGAGTAATCTAACACTATATGGGGACACGTTATTACTAATTAATGAATCGAAACAACCCCTGCTGATAGTATCGCGAGTCAAAGTCGAGAGCATTGTGGAGCAGGTACATCGCGAACTTGGTCATGCGGGAGAACGAAGGACGGAACACGCTGTCCGTCAACGCTTTTGGTGGCCATTTATACATGAAGATGTAGCGCGATTTTGCAAGAATTGTAACACGTGTTGCCGTTTTAAATCACCTCAGCAGACACACCGTGCACCAATGACACCGATGGTGACAACAGGACCACATCAGAGGGTCGGCATAGATATCATAGGACCATTGACAACGACAAAGAACGGGAATCGCTACATACTGTTTATGGTGGATTATTTCACTAAATGGTGTGAAGCAGTACCCACTCCACAGCAAGATGCCCTTACTGTCGCCCGAGCTTTTATCGATCATTGGGTCTCTCGTTATGGTGCACCAGTCTCACTTCATTCCGATCAAGGTCCAGCCTTTGAAAGTCAACTCGTCGCTGAGATATGCCGGCTATTGGGAACCAGGACGACACACACTACTGCGTATCACCCAGAGGGTAACGGCCTCATGGAAAGAACGAACAGGACTATTAAAGCTATCTTACAGTCGTTTGTCAGCAGATCGTCACCTGAATTATGGGATAATGTGCTCTCTCAATGCCTTTTAGCGTATCGTACGTCGGTACACGGTTCCACGGGATTCTCACCTGCTATGTTACTGTTCGGGCACGAATTACGCTTACCAGTAGAGATACAGTCGCCCCTACTACCTTACGAGTAACAAGAGCATGTACCGTATATACGTACTCTCCGCAACCGCTTAGCTGATGCATACCGCCTGGTCAATATCAACTCGCGTAAGGCTAGCGAACACCAAAAAGACATGTACGACCGTCAGGTGAAAGGACCGATGTATACGGTCGGAGATCGCGTCTGGTTACGCCGCCCCATGACATCGTCAGGGAGTTGCAGTAAATTCCACCAGCCCTGACAAGGTCCTTTTGAAATTATCCTCATCCGATCTCCCACTACGTTTGTATTGCGTAACATACAACGACCTAAAGACGACGTAATAACGGTACACTACAACCAAATTAAACCGGATCGAATGACAGTTTCCTTCGATGCTCAGTCCGCCGACCCACCGCCGGCCACCAGATTTTATGAAGTACCATCAGAAGGAGGAACAGCATACCCGTGCCCAAGACCGGGCACTGAGGACAGTGCCCTATTAGGAGAGGGGCGATGTAACAGCGTCGAAATCATTGTGTATATTGTGTTAATAGATTCTGTTTTCCCTTCTATTGCTGGACGATCAAGAGTAAATGCTTTAGAAGAGGAAGAACAAGCCCTACGTGCACTGAACCTGCAGAATGATGCATAAGACTGTTTGGTAAAATAACCCCCTTTTTCTGTACATTCCCGCGAAATTTGATTTTGAAATAAATCACTGGTGGTTCCATTCCGTGTTCTCCCTGTGTTGTGAAGTGCTCAGTTAACATTGTGTGTTTGTGGTTTTAGATCCTCCCGCTCGCTCCAGTGACTGCTGAATACACGAGTTACACATATGTAACAGCGTTAAAATCATCATGTATGTGGTGTTAATAGATTCTATTTTCTTTCTATTGCAGGATGACCAAGAATAAATGCTTTAGAAGAAGAAGAGCAAGCTCTACATGCACTGAGCCTACAGGACGACTCATAAGATTATTTGTAAACTAGCGCCCCCCCTTCTGTACATCATCCCGCACATTTTAATTTCAAAATATAACACTGGTGTTTTGCACTCCGTGTTCTCTCTCTGTGGTGTGAAGTGCTCGGTTAATCATTGTGTGCTGTTGTTTCAGATTCCTTCGCTCTTCAGTATCTGCTGCTAATACGTGTTACACATACGTGTGGAGATTGAAATGTCAAGTAGTAGTGAGGCCTCTGGTGGTGTTCGGCAACGAAATACTTTATTTGTAAGTTTTTGAAATATATAAGTTAGTGTTCAGACGTACAAAATCTTTTATGAGTTGTGTATTGCGTATTGTAATAATATGTATGAATTGTATCCGTATTTGTGGTGCAACTACGGTGTTTTAAAAGATGTGTGCCTAAATGCATGAATCAACTGTCTTACCGTCCATAGTGATATTATCCTAGTTTATTGCTGATTTTCGTAGTCTCTCGTCAAACGTAGGAATCATTCGCTTATGACTCCTCCCAAATAATACTTTTAAGAATTGCTTCAACTGTTTCCGGTCACTGGGTCTGTTATCAATCCATAATTTTTATTACTTGGTCTCATTTGTCTCTTATAAGTCATAACCCATTCTGTTGGCTTGATATTGTGATATATTATGATACCTGTTCAGCAAACATTATGGCAGGTCATATGCTGATTTCCAGTTGGTCAATCTCATCGTAAAACCTGGTGCTCACATACATCGTCTCAAGCTGCTGTACCTAATCAACACAACAAGGTAAAGATTTTCAGGCTAAACCTCAAAATAGCAGACGTGTTATCAGTAATAGAGATCTAATATCGTAGATAATTTTAAATAAATTAGTGGAACGAAAACCAAAATTATGAGGATTTCCGAAGCTTAAAATGTGGGATAAAATAAGGAATGGATGCATATGCATCGTTGTAAATGGTTTCAAACCATATTATTCGACGTAGCCTACCGTTCGCTTATTAATCTCCCATTTTATTTCTGAGCTAAAAAATTTCTTAGTCTTTTTGAATGTTCTGTTTAAGTTCACTGTGTATGCGAATTATTTCCTCGTGATTAGTTTGGGAATAAGGACTACTCTTTACACTGATAATTATAACAAAAAATAAATGCATCTGTGCCATTGCAACCGTTTTGAGCCACTTTATTCAAAGTTTCTATTCACTGGTTACGATAATCACGCGTACTTCAACCAGGTAGTTTGCATCTGTTAACATAGTTAAGCCCAAAAATCAATGACCTCATCGAATAGTAACATGCGTTGGTTTTGCCTCCCACAGATTTCTCCCACTAGACAACAGTCGTCAAAGTAGGAGTGGTTAAGCATACGTAACGAATGTCCCAACTACTAGGTACTTTTTTTCCATTTACTCGCCTTGGCTATTCATTAATATACGTTTGGTAACAGTAAAACCAATATTAATCAATGGGTAATATGTTAGGTGACTGTTATATATTCAAAACTAGTGTAATTAATGGATAAGTAATTAAAAGTGTAAATGGGATAATAATATTCAGAGGTATTATTTGGTCATTAAATTTTTATAGGACTAAAATATTACTCAAGGACTAGCAGGAGTCGAGATTTCGTTAAGAAATCGGGTTTTGACTAGGGTTATGTAAGGATGAAAAAATGTGTCAATCAGTTGTAAGGAACGTAGAACCTGGTATACACATACGTCGACTCATGTTCGCACACTACCTAACAACGATATGGAATTATCAGAGCAGTATTTTCTGTTCATAACGGTAAAGATTATGTATGATAGTTGTAATAATAAGCACAAAATTAAATGGTTACAATTTTAGAAAACAAACTGGGAGTTGTTATATAAATTTTTATTGAATACTGAAGCATATTTTGTTGAGCTAATCGCCTATTACTCTTGTAATGAGCAACACACCTGTAAAACATATAGCAAGTTACATGATACAATAAGTAACTTGAATATCTATATTCAGTCCACTTTGACATCGTACGTCAGTTAAATGGACATGTATACATCATTCTAGTAAAAGAATAACTGTTTTCTGCACTTTTCACTAAGTTGTGTGCTTCTGCTTGTATCAGTCTAGCTTAAAAATTGTTTTCTTAAAATGTCTTCATATTTTACAGGGTCGCTTAAAGTCTGACTATGTCAATACTGCTATGTTCTTTGCTCGTTTGGGGACGCTGTTCTGCTGTGTTGTATTCTTCTTTGCGCCAATTTTTTCTCGTTTGCATCCGTCAGATCTGGAGGTTTGGTATCGAAGAGCATTGTTAGCAAGTGCGGCGACTTCAGCCCTACGTTTACATCAACGAATAAAAAGTTTAAATACAGGTTTCTCTCGAGAAGTCCTAGAGGTCTTAATCTCTGAGGATTCTTCTCACTATTTGCTGTTTTCCATTATGTTTGCTGTATTACCACCTGTTACAGGTATCATTTTTAGGCTGTTAAATATGTACACCTTTTTGACGCGGTATTTATGATATATATTTGTTTGCCTTGTCGCCTAAATATTTTATGAAGAGTGCTTTTATATTTCTGCATTATACTGCTTAACCATCCATCTAACACCACACTTTCAGTTTAATATAATCCTAAACTACGTTTCTACACCCACATGTTTTGATTCAAGTATGCTTTTATCATCCAAAATTTTCTGTAGGACAGCCAAAGTCCACATAAAAGATGCTGCTTAGTTTAAGTTTGGTATGTGTGTTTATTGAGGAAATCGTGTTCCTCCAAATTCAAATTAGTACAACTTTGGTTTAATATAACCATGTATTTAGTCGTAAAGTGCTGTTATGCTAGCAGGTCTCATGGAGGTTTAAATATTTCACAAGTATTAATACTATCTGAAATCATTGATAATTAGTTTTCAGACTGAATATTTTGGTGAGAGTTCTTTTGCTGTGATTCAGTTAATAGTAGGTAAAATACATTGAACGGATAATCAGACCAACTTGAAAATATAATAAATTAGCTTGTTTTGTTTTCTCACTACTGCTAATATTGTTACTCTTATATTTTCTTTCTCTCATCGATATCCCCTTACTGTCGTGATCATGATTGGGTATGGCTTAGTCTAATTCATATTTATATTGTGCCCTATTGTTTTTGTCTCTTTCTGCCTGTCATCTTTAGGGTTCTTTAGATGCTTGGGAAGTGAGTGATTTGACTTGCAACACTGCTCCTCTGTTTGAGTGTTAAACATTTTATTACACTAGTCATTCTCCGTCTCAGATTCATTCGCGTTCAGTTTCAAGTTTTTTTTCTTTCAATTGAATCGTGCTACTGGGACCATAATTAACGTAATTAAGCCAACTGACATGAGTTTTAACACATGAAATCTTCTCTTTTGATTTAGTTTCTTTAGTGCCAATCTTCTTATTCGCCCTTTTACATGTGGCCAGCTTCACAAGGGTTCTTTTAAATGTAAGTTATTTTTAAAATTCCTCATCGTCTATACCTCGGAATTTTCTCAATTTATTTTCATAATAGGAATAATTATAAGTGATCGTACATCGCAACCTATAATCCTTTGTTGTAGTACTGGACTAGCATCCATTAGTTCTGTTTTAAATTCATACGTGTATCAGTATCATATTAAATACAATATTCTTATATCTGAGATGAGTTCATGCTAGTTGATTTTGATCAACAGAATATAATAGCAACGTTTTTAAAAAAGAAATAAAAACTTCCTTTTTCTGTTATTTCTGTATTCTGTTGAACTATCCATATGATTTCCGATTTTTTTATTGGAAGATTGTTTTGGTCTTTGAACATCTTTACCTTCTGGACGGTATTTTGAAATCTTCCACTAAAATCTGTTTAATTATAGTTGACTAATGGTTACCACTGAAACCTAGCACACGCTTTTTGTCCTATTTGAAACGGCCGCGTGTATCTGAATCCCAATGCTGATATTCACTCCAGGATTCAAACAGTGCCTTTTGCTTGTTGCTGAACGACATTGTCAAGGGGATCCTCTCAGGAAGCACTTATTCCAAAAGCGACTGATTAAAATCCAGTCCTCAACGCTAACATAGAGAAAATACAAACAAAAATTAACGATAAAAATTGTTTGTTCATGTAAAATGTCCCCTCTCTCGATCACTGTCTTTTCGTAAATACATAATCGAAAATCAGGGCTATGAAGAAACAATTAGCTGTGTTTCTATACACCCATCATCCACTGGTTGCAATGTTTATTTTTCAAGCCTCAACTAGAAGGATATTTTTAAATAAAACTTTCGGCATGGTACACAAATAATCAGTCCATTGGATAAAATCCCTCAGTTTTTTAAATCACATTAGAAGCACAGAAATATACTTTACTTATTTGTTTATGCTCCAGACATCTGTTTCTGTGAACAGTGGCGGAATGAGTAATGGTTCAGATGCTCCAGTTGGTTTATCGAACATGTCACGTGTACATCAAATACTACAAAAATCAACTGATAAAGTGAAAGCGCATGATCAGAATATCTTACGTATAATTGCCTTAAATGAAATCATGTTGATGGTAATCTGTATATTTATGGCTGTTTCTGGACCTAGAATTTTTGTCCTCCCCTTCATTTATTATCCGTTCTTGAAAATGCGTTATAATTCAAGGCGTAATCCTTATACTCGGTAAGTTTTCATCTGTTAATATATGTTGTTTAACAATGTTGTTTGTTGTTCTACCAAAATGAATTAATGACCCTTGTTAAAACTCCAGACATACCAATACTCAGTAAGACTAGTATTCATTGCATGTAACTTGTGTTTGCTCCGTCTTCTATTTCTAATTTTTGGTGTGAAGTGATTATATTGTTTGTCTTGTCAAACACCTTAGAGATGACAAAACATTGTAATACAGACATTAAAAATGGAGTAGGAAAGTTGAATAAGATTGTTTTTGGACAAATTTCTTTCTATTTATCGTCGTAACTTCATAGTCTGCATATGTGCTGTTTGACGTCTTGGCGAAGTCTGGTAATAACTAGGCTTCATAAACTAGCTTTTTCAAAGTTCTCATTACCCATAAGTAACTATGTAAAAAAAGCCTCAAGGATATCAAGGGCTACACTTTTGTTTTGTTTCGATTTTATCCGGGTTCAAATTTTGTTGTTTCACGTATTGTTTTTTTACAGTAACGCCTTTTTGGAACTGCGTATAGCACTTCAGAATGTAGCCTATCATGCTAAGTGTCCAGCGCTTATTTCTCGTATAATTTATGGTCTCATCAATATTGTATCTCGTTTGGGAACAAGCGGTTACGCTAGAAATTAGATTGGTATCAACTTTCTCGTGTTTTTTCTGTTTTTCGTAAGTCTGGTTTGTTTTAATTATTCGGCCTCGTTTTTCCCCGTTTTATCATATCGAGGTAAAAAATTTCAAAATTGATCACGGGCTTTTTCTGTTAATGTAGTTAGTTAGTCTCAACATAGGACCTGGTACATATGTACATCGGCTCGAGTTGCCGTGTCCCATTTGCACAACGAGATAAAACTTATCAGGCAAAATCTCAGAATGGTTTAGGTAGTAACATTATCAGTCGTAATGAGGAAGATTAGTCATCGAAAATACATTCAAGACGAAAATATAAATTAATGAAATAAAAATACCAAAGGTTATGAGAAATTTAGAATAATAGAATTTGAGGGAAGACAAAGAATGCATGCATCTGTGCCATTGCAACCGTTTTGAGCCACTTTATTCAAAGTTTCTATTCACTGGTTACGATAATCACGCGTACTTCAACCAGGTAGTTTGCATCTGTTAACATAGTTAAGCCCAAAAATCAATGACCTCATCGAATAGTAACATGCGTTGGTTTTGCCTCCCACAGATTTCTCCCACTAGACAACAGTCGTCAAGGTAGGCGTGGTTGAGCATACGTAACACATGTCTTTACCTCAGCTGATGAAGATTTACTATCCTCATCTTTATCTGGTAGTATATTCCTAATCCAGACATTGTTTATTCGGTGCTCATAAGCAGCAATACTTTGTTGGCACTTGTGATCGAATACCGGCAAAGTACGAATATCCTCTCCTCCTAATGGCCATGTTTCACACCCATAAAGTAGAATGGAGTGAAATTCTGTGCAGTAAACTCACTCTTTGATTGAAGGACGGATATCTTGCTGATGCCACAAGTGACTCAAGTTGGCAAAAGCCAGTCGAGTCTCCTGAATTCGTGCTGAGATTTCGTCAAACTATCAGGACTAATGAGACTTAAGATAATTTGAGTGGCCGATGGGTTCAAGTACTTCACTCTATATCACTGATTCAGGCGATGACGCAAGTCAATCTGGAAGAAAAATTTGGCATTTGGAGGAAGAAAACCGCATCCCAAACGTGCTTGCATTGTTACTTAAGGTGGTCAGAGGATTCCATTTTGTCAGAGCCTTCACCAAACAGAACTATATCATCTGCGTTACAAAGTAAATCTATTAGTAGAGGATCAATACCTGAAAAGTCAAACGATGAAGGTTATCTCTAGAAGCAGGTCTATGGCAGATTTACATAAAAATGGGAAAAGCGGAAAACCGTGACAAACATCACTTAAAGTAACTAATTCCGATGACGGTTCGCCACAACATGTGCCTCGACTAGTAGTTTTCGAGCAGTGAACCTTCACAGTTTTTGTGTACTCTTTCGGTACATCTTTCAATGATCGACACTCAGAACCTCACGATTAACGGAGTCAAACTCCTACAATAATAAGGTCAAGGAATACGACCATAATTCGATGTCGAAAAGCACCTTGATGTTCCGAAACCTGCGAAGGGTAAATATTAGTCCATACATCCACTTCCAGGTCTGAGACTGGCTCAGTTTCTTCAGCTTTGCTCTTCACGAGACTAATATTTTAGACACTGTTCTACTTAAACTGATTCCTTTATGATTGTTACCAGAGGATTTTTGTCATTTCTTAATAAATTGGGACGATCAGCAATCGACACCAGTTAGATGGGATTGTGTCCACTTCCCAGATTCGAGCTAAGATTTCAGTTAATCTGACTGCCGAAACTGAACCGCTACCTAAACTTCTCAGTGATTGGTTCATATGTCTCTGCTGCTCTCCATGTCTTTAGATCACTTGTAGCCCTTTCCACCTCACTAGGAGTTAGAGGATTTACATCAGTTTGCCATTCATGTTTCTTGGACTTGTGGGTAACTGGACTGTGACTGAAGGTAAGTCAGACCGTCCCCTAAAGTGTTCTTCCCATCGCTCCAATCGGAGACGCGGCATAGATCGATGGCGCGAGATTCTTGTGCCCTAGTTAAGGAAGTCTGTTGTCTTATCTGATGGTTTCATTATTGAAAGCCCGAGCATGTAGTTTAGAGCGTAGTCTTGGGAGATCATTAATAGCATTTCATGAACTCGAACGATTAGCATTGGTGGCTCGTGTTGCTTACGATATGAGAGAAGGGTTAATTGTAGGAAAGTATTATTAATAGTTAAGAGAGGGATTCGATCGTCTACAAGATAATCTCGGGTGCTGATGGAGGTGTGTAAGTGGTTGTCACTTCCCGTGCAAGGATATTTCTTGAAAGATCTGAATAGGAAGTTGGTTTTGTAGTAGTCTTAGTGACCTAGGAGTATGACCACAGAGCCCAAGGGACAACTGCTTTCGACCCACCCATCATGGCTTCTTTTTGGAGAGTTCTTGATGTACTAGCTTTGCCTTACCACTGGAGACGGAAATTCGTGGGGTATGGTAAGGTGTGACATTTTAATGGTCGACCTCTCCTAACCCCTTCGTTGCGTTGTGAGAAGGCAGGATCGATTTTCTGAGGGAAAAACCTTACTACTTTTACACCCCTTAGTAGTCCACAGTAGGACTTCGTTATCGGGCCTTAAGTTACTGTTTTTTATTACACCGTTCTCTAACCAACCTGCTTAGGTTTGTAGAACCTAAAGAAACATGTATTTCAGCCATTAGAGCTCCATTGAATCATCGCGATAGACAAGCTCGACCAACAAGTCAAGGTAGCAGTCACAGTCGGTGATTAGACAAACCTCAATTAGTTGGTCCAAGCACCTGGCATCGCCACCTAGTTCAACGATAAACATTATAGATTAAATAAATAATAAATTTTTACTATCCCAATGAGTAGAAAATTAGATTTTCTGACGTTTCGTGACTTAGTGTAATTCACTTCTTCATAGAATAAATAACCTAATTAAAATTAATCCAAGTTTAAATAGTACAACGGAACAATGCAAGAATAATATTTGATCAATCAAAAACAGGTGTGAACAAGTTGATGTCATGTCATTTTTGTCAAGGTGATTCATAAGTGATATGTATGTAAATTTGTGTGTGTATGTATGTGTGTATTGTTTAAGAATGAAAAATTGTGTGACCTTTATGGTAAGAAAGAATAGAGTTTAAATTTGTAATATGATAGTGTGAATTTGTAAATATGATTACACTGAATGGCTAGGATAAATGATCCAAGTAGGATGTATGGTAAGGCCTTCCTTTCTGTTGAGAGAAGTAGGATTAAGCATTATATGGAACGCCTCAGCTACCCTCCTTTCTTTGTAGTTGGAAAAGGCTTTTTGCAATATTGTGATATTTTTAAAATCGATTTGGTGGTTGTTGAAAATGGCATGAACTACTATTGCCGGTTTAATTTGAAGTTGGTTCAATTCTACAGGATTGTTAGGAGGTTTCTTTGTGTACCTAATATGTTCTTTGGCTCTAGTCAAGATTTCGCGGGATGACTCTCCAATATAATAGGCATCACAATCGATACAACCTAATTTGTAGACGCAGTTTTGTGTGTACATGAAGGGGATTTTGTCTTTCAGGTGAACTAAAGTATTACGTAGTGTGTTCGTTGTTTTGTATTATACTTTAATTCTGTGGTGTTTCAAGATTCTTTGGATTTCTTCTGTTGTGCCATGACGGTATGGTAAAACTGCTGTACCAATCCATGACATTTCATTTGAATTATTATTATAACGTAATGAACTGTTTTGTTTTAATATGCTTCTAATAATCTTCAAAGGGAAATTATTAAATTGTAAGATGTTGATTATATTCATTTGTTCTTTTTGTTTGTCTTCCTCTGATGTGATGATCTTGTTAGCTCTTCTAAAAAGATTTAAGGCTAGCGAGATCTTAGCACTGAAAGGATGTGCTGAATGGAAGTCAATGTAACGATTTGAGTGCGTCGGTTTTCGGTAAATGGATAGGTTTAGACTTCCATTTGGATTTCTTCTTACTAAGCAATCTAAGAATGGTAGCTCACCATGTACATTTTCATTTTCATTGGTGAATTTGATGTGCGATGAAAGTGTATTTATTCGTTTTGAAAAAGATCTTAGATGAGTCTTTTATAACAACAAATGTATCGTCTACATATCTATGCCAAATTCGTGGTATAATGTTGTGGGCGAAGATATTTGATTCTATGTATGCCATAAAAAGGTTGGCCGCCATCGGGGATACAGGGGATCTCATTGCTACACCGTTAGTTTGTTTGAATAACATACCGTTAAAAGTAAATAGCGTTGAATTTAAACAGTCTTAAGGATTTCATGATTAGACTGATGCTCAACGGACATCTGTCAGGAAGAGTATTGTCGTTCTCAAGTAAACCACTAATGAATTCGAAGCATTTATCAATGGGAACACTTGTGTGTAAAGAAACGACATCAAAGCTTATCATGATTTCATTCTTCTCGATGATTAATCCGGATAATTTTGATTTAAAGTCATATGTGTCTTTAATTATATTATCTAAGTTGAGTTGTAGTGGTTTTAATATATTGCTTAAATATTTCGACAATGCATATGTTGGGGTGTTTGTGAAGTCTACTATCGGTCTTAGAGGAATATCTGGTTTATGAATTTTTGGTAAGCCATAAAACAGTGAGACATTACATGATTTGGGATGCAAAGCAAACCAAAGCGAGACTTCAGTGATTGGTTTTAGCTCGTTTAGAAGTTGACTTTTTTCTAATTTGACTTTATTCTTAATCGTTAGAGAAGTTTTTGGAGTGATCTTTTCATAAGGTCCTGTTGACAGATGTTCAAGAGCTTTATTAATATAATCTGTTTTATTCATGATTACGGTTGTGTTGCCTTTGTCGGCTTTTGTAATGATAATCGTTTTTTCTTTTTTAAGTGAATGCAAAGCCTTCAATTCTTCTTTTGAAATGTTTGGTGTAATGTGTTTTTATTTAGTCAGAATATGGGATGTCTTTTGACGTAGTAAATGTGACTTTCCGGTAGTTGTGCGATTAATACCATATGTTGTACTAAAATAAATGAAACCAGAAAATAAAAAACGATTACCCTACATTCAACTTTTGTTATTTTCATGTTATCGTTTTAAATATTTTAATCATAACTGCTCAATTTACTGTCTTTTCTTCCAAAACTTTTCCTCAGGTCGTCCATTTGTTACCTTGTGATTGGATTATCTTTGTCATTCAATATAAACATCGATCAGCTACCACTTGAAAAAATATTCAAATGAGTTCGTCTTCACTTCATTTTTATAATCTACTTGTATTTCATCATTTATTTTACTACTTATTTGTCCTTGCTATTCTCGATAAAAAGTAACTGACAATTGATATATATATATAAATTTTGTGTAGTTTCACAATCTAATACATATGAAATCGTTCTCACTTGTTCTGGTTGGCATGTCATTTGGATTTTTCAGTGAAGATTATATCGGTAAATTTACATATTATACTTTTTGCTGCAACGTTCTAAGTAATACTTAGCGGGTTTTGTTAAAATGTAAAGGAACCTATTCCAAAATCCTAGGTCATTTCATTTTTCATGCTTATGTTAAGCTCTGGTCTCATCCTTTTCAACAATCTCTTCACTCGTTCTCTACTCGGTTCATTTTATCAAGTGGCCGTTTTTTCTTACGAATATCAGTTACAGTCAAAATGATTTAGTTGTCACATTGTTATCGTGTCATTCAAATTCAACTTGTAAAAATATGCGTTTTGACTGAGCTGTTTGCTTTTGTAGATGTTTCTAGTATACTGATAACCTGTTTAGTTTTTATTCATCTCGTCTAACGTATTTGGGTTTGAAAATAATGTTGAATCGCATTTACCAGGTTCTACTTTTAACATTGGTAATGTTATCTTTGGCTGTAATTACGTTGAAGTGAGTGTCACCTAACCGATGGAACAACACGTAATAGTTATTGTTAATATTGGTCCGTTGTTGGAAAAGCGAAAGTTGTTAGTTGCTTGTAAATGCTCAAACAGTTGATTGAAAAGCGTGATTATGCTGAGTTTACTAAACAAACAATTGATCATTTTTCAAAAGATTTTCTCAATTTCCGAAGTATAGTCTAGTTAGAAAGCACTATATCTTATCTTTGTTTAAACACTTCTAATACGAGCGAGAACTGCGGTAATATGCTTGTTGAAGTATTCAGTTATTCAGCATTTATTGCAGCGACTAGGAATCCAGTATGAAGACAAATGCAAGAAAAGGTTGGTGCTCAGTAAAGTTGTGACTGAAGTAGGACAATTATGTACATGCATAACATGATCTTTGGAAATTAGAAATGGCAATAATCAATCGGAAAACAGCCAAGGCCGTGCATAGATGTAGGGTTGGGGTAACGTTCCTGTTTTTCTTTACAAACTGAGATCTCAGTTATTCTCGATGAGAAATTATGTCTTCGTAGTTTACTGAGCGTACTTTACTAAGCTAAAGACTTTGTTAGAGTCAAATAAGTAGACTAATGCCAGGAGGCTTGAGTGAAATGGAGCAATTCATGAGTTGCTCAGGCGCAGCAGTTGATTATATTTGTACGAACACACCTACGGTAGGTCATATCTTAACTTCAGAAAACCGTTTTGGCCTCCCCAACCTTGGAGCTACTTATACGATCAGTAATCGGCCAGGGGACCCTCGCCAGCACGGTAGGTATGCACCAGAGGTGTAGTGACAAATGTTTGCTATTACTTGGACAATAGGGCGGAAGTTAGTGTTCACAATCGAGTGGTGACCAATGTCATGCATGTCTAGTCCTTATTAGTGCAGATCAGACGTTATCGACCATGTTGCAATGTGGCCACCAGTCTAGGTGACTCGACACTGCGGGCACTTTTGTGAGACTAGATGGTGGTTGGAGGTAGTCGACAAGAGACAATGGACTCGGGCTTTGTGCTACTAGGCACCCGTCAGCAAGGTGTGTCTATAATCTTGAGGGAACTGGTGCTCCCTAGCGAATTCGGTCCCGTGTCACTCAGCTTCACAGTCAGAGGTTACCACTGAGTTATGCGGGCCGCGACTGACCTGTAGGACTGGGATGTAATCACAATTGATTGATCACTTGATGGTGACTGTGAAGCTGGGTGACACGAGATCGGATTCGCCAGGGAGAACCAGTTCCCTCAAGATTACGGGCACACCTTGCTGATGAGTGCCATGCAGCACGAAACCCGGGTCCATTGTCTCCTTACGACTACATCTAATCAGGAGTTCGTGTATTAAACATTAATTCAAAAGATCGACAGCAAACGAGGTTTTCACTCTGCATATTGGAAAGATTCAGTGGCCTATAGGTTTATGCAAAATCATTCATTAGATCTTTGTTTTCATTTGTGTCACTTCAAATAAATGTCAGAGACCCCAGAGGATAACTTAATATACTCTTCACATCAAGGAAATACAGGTCAGTAAACGGCAACAATTTATTTATTTGTGATGTTTATCTTTCTGATTGTAAATTATATCCAAACAACATTAGACATATGACCGACCCGTACTTCCAAACAAGACGCGATAAATCTTCACTGGTGAGAGCGATGTGATCTGATACACCAAATTGCAAACTGTGTGTCTGTTCGTATTTGGGACTTTATATATCATTGCATTATTTTAATTTTATATATTGTGATATTTTTAGTGTTATGTAATATATATATATATATATATATATATATATATATATATATATATATATATATATATATATATATATATATATATATATATATATCAAATTGATCATGCCTGCAAACTGGCGTGAATTCTGTAATTATCATTTTTTCAGAGTATAAATTATTATTATATGTATATACTTGATATTTCACCATGATGAACAAACACCCAAGGTACTTAAGTTAAAGACTATATCCCAACCTTCGTTTCAACTGATGCCCTTCTGGCCAGACAACATCGAAACCTGGTTCTGCTACGTAGAAGCCGTCCTCCACGAGCACAGCGTGGATGACACGTGCACAATTCCTCGCTGTAGTTAAGGCACTACCACGCGAATCCGACATGTACGTAACACCTAATATGTCTGCTAGTGATTTTTCGAAGGCCGACAAAACACTTAAACACAGAGATCTAACTTTTCTTGTCTAAGCTTCCTCAACAGGTGCAAGCTAGGCGGGTCTCGTTCCAAAAGAACGCCATAGATGAGCTAGTTGCATCTGCCGACCGCATCTTAGAAATCACCAAAGCGTCAAGCGTTATTGAATGATATTACGGAACTATGTCATACACATTTCGTAGTGACCGTAAACGGTCACATACCCCTCAAAAAGGCACTTCACGTAGGCGATCTGTCTCTAGACCACGAGAGACAGATTGCCCCGACTGGTGCTGGTATCATGATCATTACGGAAAATTTCAGAAGACCCTGCAACTTTCCGAACTGAAGATCGCACGACACCAAGATTAATTCGGGAAACTTCCCAGCCGGCACATGTTAACGGCAATCGTGATCGGCGAAAACAGCCGTCTGTTATACGTCACAGATGTGGTGACGAAATTACGCCACCTCGTCGATACTGGCTCAGAAGTTACCGTTCTTCCAGCAAAATCTAACGATCGACTTCACGAATCGGTTTTAAACTCACAGCGGCAAACCGAAAGCCAGTCGCCCCCTATGGTAAAAGGTAAGATTTCTATAACGTGGGTTTACGCAAACTTATTCACTGAATCTTCGTCGTTTCAGATGTTTCTGTGCCAATCATTGGTATACATCTGCTACAACACCACAATCTGCTCATCGATACGCGCAAACGGAGGCTAGTAGACGGAAACACTAATTTGTCTGTTTGTGTAACTTCTTTTTCCGGTTGCAGATTATCCGGCCAGATTTGATGCGGTCACTAGTTCTCTTAATAACAAAGACTTACGACCAGAGGCTAATAAGCTAGCTATTCCCTTGCGACCCAGTCCTGCTAACTTTAGAGAGAAAAGTTAAAATCCTCAAGGGAGGAAATGTCCCGCAAAAAGCCATAATCTTGAGCGATCACAACGGATGCAAACCAAAACGTATATATACAGCATAAAACCGTCGTTAAGACGCGTTACAAAATAGCATACTGAAAGTCAACGGACCAATCGCGATTAGGGTTCTCCTAAGTGGGAAATACGACATCAATGTGAAAAAAGCACTTTTGGCGCGAAAACGAAAAATTCAAATTTTGAGTCAGTCCTGGGGATCTAACGTCCCTAACACACCTCGCAATTTTAATGACTGGCTATCCTTGGGCCAACTTGCATCTTGCTCGTTGTGCGCCGCTGTCGGAGAGGCCACCTTCTGGAACGGAGATAAGCTTGTTGAACTTTTTCTCGTGGTGGGTTTGCCGGTAAGTTAAATGTATCAAGCAGGATGTCAAGGAGAAGATTTACTCCTGTTGATGGGCGTTCTACAGCTAGATGTTTGCGTATCAGGTTCCAAGGGCATGACCATCTATCGGCTCCTAATTCTACTTCGTGTATGACACGGTCTACTCTTCTGACCACTCGCGTTTCTGTCCATTGACCATGGATCGCTCTGTAGTCACGGGCAAACACAGGACATCCCACTTTTCAGACTTTGTATGTACTGGTGTTGATGCATTACTAGGGTGCATCAGGCTATGGATCGTTTTCATTCTTCTTCCCATCAGGATTTCTGCTGGGGACTATTGCTCCGGTACCGTCTCATTTCGTGTTGTTCGATAAACGAACAAGAAATTTCTTTAACGAGTCGGCTGGTGTCCTCACCGCTCTGACCATATTAATTTAATTGACTTCCCTAGATGAAGGCGCTCAGTCATGCAGCCGTACCAAAGCACGAGTGGAAACGCCCTGATCAACATCTGCAATCGCTAGCGAGGTTAGATCAGTCGATTCTAGATATATTGATAGCGTATCAAATATATCTTCGAACCTCCTCATTTCTGTCTTTTGATTTCACTTGGTGTGCACGATTCATTTTACAAAGTTTAACTGAGTGAAGCGTTGTCAAACTCCAAATATCTGTGGCATCTTCGCCAAAATCGAAACTACCATGGCGGATCACTAATCTTTCACACTACATCAAGATTATGGGGTCATCCGCCTGAGTGAAATCGCGTTTAATTTTTTACCGATGACAATAAGAAAACCACACCCAGTTACATTCCTTGCCACATCCATGATCTAGAAG